AATTCAAGTTGAAGGAAATACTTATGCCAGAGCCTCTCGCCCTTCTGTATCTCTAGCAGATGCTTTCGATAATGCATCAAAAGTAAACTGATCATTTATCATGATCATTATCGTTAATATTTATTACTACGTAATACTAAATCCAACTAGCGACTATAAAATTGGTATGAAAGTGGTGTGTAAATACATATATGGTCGAAACTGGTATAGTTGTAGTCTACCGCCGTTCTTGGCGCGTCAAAGTGAGACTACCAGTACCCCTTTATATATATATATATATGAGAAGTAACATATCACGACCTTTAAGCTCAATCAGTAGCTTAAAAAAGGTATATAAATATATATCATAGTGCCTTATCAGAAAAAATGCCCAATTCCAGTTGGAGCAAAATGCAATTGAAGCAATGGTTGCAAGACAAAAAGATACATTTTGATGATGACGCTTTCAAACTCGAGCTTTTAAATCTATGTCGCCTTAATATGATGATGATCGTCATATTGGGGAAAATGGCTATGTTGACAAGGAAGTTTTGAAAGTTTTTGACGATGCTCTAGCGAAAGTGACTCCCACAGTTTGGGCCAAGTGTGTGAAACATACCGAGGACTTGATTAAAAACGACTGGGACAAGCATCATGTGTTTAATAGGGAGGATACTAATATAATCATTCGCTTGGGAGAAACTTCAGATGACTCTGATGAAGAAATCTAATAATCCAGATTTATATTGATACAATTTTTAAAATTTATATTTCTTAATTTTCTATGTGTGCACCTTAACGCAGATTGTTAAATATTTTGATAGATATGGAAGTTACAAGTTTGATGTTAACTAAGGCGATATAAATTTAAAAGCTCGAGTTTAAGAGCATCATAAGCAAAATGTATTTTTTTGTCTAGCAGTAATTTATTCAATCGCATTTCTCTCCAGGAAGAATTGAGCATTTTTATTATTGAAGGTGGTTCTTCTAAAGCTCTCATTAGCTTGTCACATATCCACATCCAATGTTCCATCAAGTAGAGCAAATAGATGTGTTATTTTGTATTATATTGTAAATTCCGTATATATATTTTTTATTTCAAATTTAAAAAAATATCAAATGGCGTGTCACACTCTACCCGCGTTTATGTACTAGATTAGAAGATTTTTGAGAATGACGATTAGTAAATAATTTTGAATCGGTTTCCCTCAGGAAAATTAAGATTCGCCCATGGTACGGAGACTCGATCTGTTTACCTATTTTAGATGGCGTTGATGACGTAACCGCCAAGAACGGTGACTATAACTATAGCATTTTGGCATCCACTGCCAAAGTCGCAACTGTTGACGTAGCGAGACCGGCAAAATTGAAGTCAGCGTTCCGACTGTTTTTACACCGAAGCAGCCGCGCAGGCAGAAGCCTAAATGCCAGGGCACCGCGGCTGCTATGAGGACCCCAAAGAAACTTTGTTAATCCGATTTTTGAACTGCCTAAGGTCTTGTAGCTTGTTTCACAATCTCGACACTCTAGGGATAAAGGAGGGTCGTATCGGCCAGTTGTAGAGGTACGAAGTTTGACACGGTTAGGATCGGAGGCCAAAGTAAGGCATCAGGGAGGAGAGCTCTGAGGAGCAAAGCCCATTGGTGTATCGGTAGAAGAGAGCTGTTAGAGATGACGACAAATGGCAGTTATATTGTAACAAAATAAGTCGGCTATATCGATGTCGCCCTTTTAGATTCAGGCTTGACCAATTGTATAGGTTCATTAAAGTCGTCTGGACCGACCTATTTAATACCAGTGGTACAGCCGGATGAGGTGGTGGACGCGACGTCCGTATGTCTGACGTATACTATTCTGCTCGTCAACTATGTACAACAGCTTACAGTGCTCTAGTCGTAAGGTAAAAAGGAGTTCCATTGGAGTTCCACTTTCACACCTTTATGTGTACTGTACTGTATACATTACTTACTCGATAATGTATTTCGAATAAAACTCACTTAACGTTAACAAGTCCTTAAACTGCATAACTATCCCGATGCAAACCAGATGGAGGCAATTTTTGTGACAGGCACAGTTTTTATGATTACATCTTACAAAGATGCTGATTTGCAAAGTTATACAAGAACGCATAAGTCGAACCATCTTTCTGTACTACTGAAAATATGAAAACCGGCTTTAAATGTAAAAGGGAGAGCTTTATCTGTTGAAATATGTATGAGAATTGGTAATATAATATACGACATGACACTGGAAATATATACATATATCTGTATTTCAATTGCATCCTTTTACATCCTAATCCCATATCGGTTTCAATATTCTGATAAATGGTAATTCTAAAGGAGCGCTTATCATTCCAAATTCCATATATGGATTGATGGATATAGAAACGGGAAAATAGAAAATATATAGTGAAAAATTCCATAAATAACAAAAATATCATTAAGAAATAGTGCTTGTTGGACAAAGCAACTAAAAGACACTGTTAAAAAATATGATGTGCTGAATATTTATCTCAAGGGTCGTATTTTTCGTAACTAGTATATTTTTCGTGATATCTGGGACAAAAAATGGTGTCAAGTAGGTTGACTATGCATTTTCTCCGCAACGCCATCATCATTTCATAAAGGTTAAAGTTCAGCGCAATTTAAATCCTCTGAAAAAGTCAGACAGCTATGTATATATAAAACAGAGAAATTTAAGGAACCAAATCAGTCAAAAAGGCCTTTACAATTAGTTCATAGATATCTTTCCCTGCCCTACCGGTAGATATTGTTCAACTGGCACTGTTCTCCCTTCCCACATCTGCACGGCAGCGCCCACTGCTTCACTGCAGCAAGGCTAGATTAGTCAACTGGATCGGTACGCCCCGCGGTTTTAAAGGCAAATGTATGTATGATGTGTGAAATATGGCTAATAGGTGCATAGAATTACCGAGGTTGGGAGCGTACAAATAAACTAACAATCAAAATATTTTCATGTACCCTCCCAATCCCCCAAATTTTAACCCCTGTAAGCTTTCTTCTAAGAGTTTTCAAGAACATCAAAAAACGAAGTTTCAGCAAGTTTTACTTCTCTGATATTTTTGCCTCCAGCTTCACCGCTGCTGAACTGATTTTTAAAAACTACAAAGCTTTTTCGTCCTTGGCATAGTAGTGACCTTTTGTGAAAATTTCACCCCGCGATACTTCCCAAGTTACAGGTGGTCCAAAGATTAGCAGACAAATCGACGGATATGAGTGATATGGTTTTTCGTGGTGTACATGTCATATAACATCCAAAAAACATAATATCTCATTTTCGAAGCTGCCAGAGTATCGCGTTCAGACGCACCTTTTTCGAAACCTGTAAATACATCTTTGTATCGTTATACAGATATAGTAATCGAATTGACACTTTTTACCGAAAATTGGAATATCAACTAATCAATATGGCCTTGAGAAAGCGACACTTGTTTTTGCAACAACCAGTAGAGTAAATTTTTGCATTTTGACTCCATTTACTACCTCTTACTACCTGCTCCAGAAAACCACACTGCCGTTGCACTTTACGCCAGATTGCCGGAAGCTGCAAACTCGGCAAAAGTACATCATAAACATTCACAATCTGCCATCAGGCATCCTCTGAAACCGATGGAGTAACCGTCGATTGTTATGACTGAAAGGAAACTTGATACGTCGTCGCCCAAACCGACCGTTATCAGATGGTTAAGACATGACGTAATCCGGTCACAAATCATTTACATAAGTCACGTTTGGGATATTTACAAGTTTTTGTTCGGCAGCTGTAACTACCAACACAACGAACATTGAACCTTGGTGACAGCTATGCATTTTGTTTTGTTTTGTTTGCTTTGAAAGTGTTGTATGGTGTGTTGAAGAAACTGTATGTTTTCTTTGGTACATTATAGTACATTGTCAGTTTTGCATACTGATTTGGATTTGGTTTTGAGATAGGCATTATTTGTTTCAAACCCACGCTCGGCATATTCAGCTATTATCAAGCCCTAGAAATTAGAATTAAATAAGTATGTACCTTAGGGCCTCATATAGGGCCTGTGGGTGTAATGATGGAATCGCGTCGCGGAATCGCGTTTTTAAAAAAACGACTTTCAAGCGATTTGATACTTCATTCTAATATAAATACAATGTTTGGACTAACAACGATATGTTAGCAAACCTAACCTAAGTGAGTTGAATTGAAGTAATAGGATTAAACTGATGCCTGAAGGGCACAACCATCAATATATAACATAGGGTTGTTTACTAAGATAAGATATAAGTACACCGATTAGGAAGATATACGAGGGGCTCTCGCTATATAAACTGTCTGTCTGTTCATAAATCATTGGCCCCGCTATAACATGGAACGTACCGCTCGGGTTTTGATGAAATTTTGGCTCAGGGTTACTATTATGTCAAGCACAAAACTATTTTATAAAAAAGTTTTGTAATTCGATACAGAGTCGGCGGAGGCATGGATAAAAAGAAAAAAAATCGCCCGAACTTAGTTTGTTGACGTTTTAGAGACTCATTGTGAGTAAATTTGTAGGAGTGAACATCGATAATTGAGGATTATAGGGGGATTGTAAATGTCGAGTTTTTGGTGTATGTGAAAGGCACTCTATTATTAAGAAGCTTCTGATCCCGGTAATACTATATATTTGCTGGATATAACTGTCACACATATTATGATAATACGCTGTTGAATTGTAATCGCGGCTGAATGTCAACAACTACATGCCTCGAGTGCCCGTGCGACCGCCCGATGACACCACACGTAGGACACGTTTTCGGCGGCAACTGGCTGCAACTTATATATATTTGGACGCAGGTTGACAGAAATTTCAGTGCCGCCGTGGGGAATTTTTGAGACATTGCTTTTGTATCATAAATTTAACGTAGGATAGTATTAACATAGGCTACTTCACTGCATCCGATTTACCTTTTTTTTTTATACTTCAACTACCACGACCACGAACGCCTAAGGCCTAAGCACCCATTGGGTACCGTGGGGCTATAGGGGGATACATGGGAAAGGGGGGGGACCCCACACGGACTCTGGCGAGGGAACACGTGTGCATGCAACATGCACACATTCTGGCTCCGCCTACGAGATCCGCCGGGTGGTACCTCCGCGTTCGACAGTCAGAGACCGTCTACCACCTACGGACAATCACAACATCCATAGCCAAGAGAAAAATTTCTCCTGGGACGGGACTCGAACCCGCACAGCGCACGGCGACTGATCAGGAGACCGAAGAGTAATATTACGCACTTGGACATAACATTTTATTCTTATAGTTTAAGATGGAAAACTGGTGAGTTCTACGATATTTCGTAACTAAGTTCACACCCAGTCAGGTTTCGGTTCTATTTGATAAACTTGATCGATTTTGTTTTTGTTATACGTCTTGTTGACTTTTCTAAGACGGGCTAATTTGTCGTATTTTCATTTTAGATACAACAGGTTACTCAACGATATGTAACCAAAATAAAACGTTATGTTACTATCAATCAGTTAGAAAAGTCAAGTAGGTTGACGGGATATCTCACAAGCAATTGCTTGAATGGATCGATTTTTTAAATTATGGTCCACATGGCGTCATCATAATAATTGGCGTCATTTTTTACATAATTCCAGCACTTCTTTGTATTAAAGTTGCGGGTGGTTGAATGGTTTGTCCAACAACAAAACAGTGTTCTTTTTATAACAATTGGTTAGCGAATCAGGTATATGTTTGAAAAAATACTCAGTGGTTCCTCCAGTTTGATACAAGCTCGGAATTTCCGCCAAACTGTGAAAACAAACTTTTCAAAGTAAGTTTTGGAAGTAACCGAGCCGATAGCGTTTACCGAAAAATCTAGTTTCATTTTAACCCATGTTGAGTGTTTCTTTACACGAAGGGTTATTTTCATTATTCGTCCATGTTTAGAACACAAAATACAGTTAATTTAACGTGACTACTTTTAGTTATTATCATTGTTTGAATTCGAAAACGACAAAATAGATAAAATGTACAAGTCTCATTTTAATCCAGGCATTCCACATATCGGTTTCGGTAGCAGCAGAGAGAAATTAAAAATTCCAAGAGAACCCGCGTAACAGCCGCGAAATTCGAACCATTCATTAAATGTGCCTAACATGGGCGTCTGGATTGCTACAGTTCCCGAGAATTGAAAGGCTAATTTAAATGGGTAGGTGTATATGTTTTCTATGTTATCGATCTTTCTCTCTTATCAGGATTCATTGTTTAAAATTATTTGATTTAAATCATGATTTATTATTTAAATCAAACTTGATTTATTTCATGAAAGTTTATGAATTATTTAGAGTAGTGCTCGTAGTATCAAATCAGTTACATACAAGAAAAATACTTATTCAAATGCACAGTTTTCATTTATTAATGTAAATTATGTTATAGCCAAACTATTAGTGAATATTAAAGTTATTATAATATTTAAAATTTCACCACCTTCTTATTTCCCAGTCTATTTCGAAGTTCAAGTTAGACCAGACCAAATGTAGAAAAAAATCCTTTCTATAGATGCAAAGAAAGTCACCGCTGTGAACAACCGGTAGAAGATAAGCGTTGGTTGCATTGCAATGGTTTTACGTTTGGATTTCCTCTGCTAGACTCTTATCGGTGACCCGCGAGTATAGTTTCGACACTGCCCACTGAAGTCTCAAATAATAATAAACCTTACCGATGAGTTTATTCAACATTCCATGTGACAACTTTTTTGTTCCGCTGTGAACACAGTGGATCGAACGTTAGCTGGGCTGTTACTAATGCAAAAAATAATAGTTTTGTTAGTGGGCTGTCTGTTGATAGAGTCAAAATCTACAATTTGCAATGAATATTAAGTTAAAATAATAAATATTAAAGAAAAAACAGTTATTTGATCTTTTTTAAATAAAAAAATCTGCCAGAAACAAAAAAATCATGATTCATATCAACTCTGTCTCTTATTATTAGAGAAACTGATGTAGTCATTGGCTATTTATTTTCTAACACGTTTTATGTGATGACCAATAATAATGAAAAGTGAAACGTTGAATGAGCAAGTTCACCTAGGTTACGGCTGCCCTGCCTGTTTTCGTCGAAGTACTAAGCATTTTTAGTCCAATTTTTGAAATTTCAAACTAGGTTTACATCAGCTAGTTATTAATTTATGGGTATGTCTCTATATATAGCACTTTTCAATCTCACACATTTTCAGTTTCAATTCCTCAAAACACTCATTTTTAATAAGCCCTTGACGTTTTGATTACAGTATCTGCATTTCTTTGTTTAAAGCCGAAATATGGAACAACTCAAAGGGAAAGTACTTTAATGATAGCCCTGAATGCTCCACAAACATACCGCGTTATATAATAACGCAATATGTATATTATAATGGTTATTGTTCAGCAAATTATACTGTTCCCTTTGGCGTACCGCAAGGGTCAAACCTAGGCCTTTTGCTTTTTTATTCATCATAAATAACCTTGCTGCTTCACTAAAGTGTCGCAAGCTACTATTTGCCGATGATGTTGTCAACATTGGATCTTGTATCAACACCAATGTAATTGTAGTCACCGTTCTTGGCAGTTACGTCATCAACGCCATATGAAATAAGTAAACAGATCGAGTCTCCGTACCATGGGCGTAGACTAATCTACAGCGCATCTACTACTCTCCAGTACTCATGAAGTGGGTAACAGGGGACTGCCCTTTTCATTCTATTCCTGGAGATACTCTAATAAATTTAGCACGAGCTGTCGGCCTTCTCCATTGATCGTATTTCCGGGCATTGTACAATTTTACATTGAAGATTGATAGCAGGATAACTCGAATTGCACGCCGATGTCAAGTAAGTTGTCACTCTGACAAATATGATTGAAGGGCACTTATACCTAATGACAATTTTTTCGAGACGGAGACCCACAACTAAAAAACGCATGCCTTTGAGCTTACCGAATAAACGTTCACACACAGGGGTAGGTTGCATGTGTATGTATGGGAGAGATGGATATATACTACGAGTATATAAAGGGATACTGGTAGTCTAGAACGCTTACTACAACTATAGTTAAGTTACAATATAATGGTAACTTAACCAATAGCGTTCATACTCAGTAATTGGATTAATTTGTTTAGCAATTATATATAAATAAATACATTCTGATATATATATTTTCTCTATTACTGACTTTTTACTTTCGCCCCATTTGACAAACAGGTATTGCTACCGCGAAGATTTTCAATATCGAGATACTATATTTTTGAATGCTACATAACGTCCATATCAGGAAAAACAATGCCACTCATTTTTGTAGGTCATCTGCTCGGTAAAATCTTTGGGTCCACGAAAAGCACTGTTGGATCTCTGACATTTTAACATATGCTTACCCATAGCAAGGACGACAAAACTATAGTATTGAAACTCGGTCCAATGACAAAAAACCAACGATCTAAGGATTTCCCCCGCTTCATTTTTTGAGATTCGGTTGATTTCAAGCTGTAACAAAACTTTTTACTAGAGGCTTCAAAACTATCAGCTAATTCACCTTAGGATATAGCTAAAAAAAGTGTTGCGGGTCGGCCAAACTTTTTTATGTCTTCAGAATTGTCGTTTGTACTTGAGAAAAGCCACCGCGATAGCCGAAACATCGTGTCATTTAAAACTAATTCGAACATACGTGTTTTCATTAAGCGACCAGACAAAGATGGAGGATTATCAGGAGCCGTTTTCCATATATTCCAATTGTCACCAATGGCTCTTGGATTTTTTGTGTATCTAAAATGTTGAATAGATTTATAATAATGCGTGAAAAGTAGTCCTTTTCTCTACTGACACAACTAAATATAAACATTCAAATCCGTGCTTGAGAGTTACCCAAAATTATGACATCACCATCTAAAATCGTTGTATCCATACATCATAAAAATAAATTGGCTTCAAATTTTGTAGCAAAAGTAACATTGCGGTATTGCAAAATGGCGTCAAGTAGGTTGACTCTGCACTTCCTACAGAACGCCATCATCAGTTCGTAAATGAGTTTAGCCCAAGTTAAACCCTCTGCAAAAAAAATAGTTATGAAGATGTACATGTAGAGAAATTAAATGGATCGTCAGTCAAATAGGCCCATATAATTAGTCCGTAGACATTCTTACCCTATCCTATCAGCGTCGCCCCTTCCTATATCCCACCGAAGCACCGCCGCTGTACAAGCTGAACAATCAAGCAGACCGTTACGACGAGCGCTGAGCCCAGATAGCAGAAGGAGACGCGTATCCAAAACATTTCTCTATCATTCAAAGTTTTAAAGATAAAGTAACGGGGAAACCTACGATGTGTGAAATATGGCTAATAAGTGTGTAGAGTTACGGGGGTTGCGAGCGTTTAGATATAATTAAACAATTCTAGATATACCCTTCCTCGCACCCATAATTTTTCACCCTTAATATTTTCAAAAATGATTGGGATCCTCTGAAATGTCATTTGAGCGGTTTTTATTATTTTTTGTTTTTGGCCTTTTTCTTCGCCGCCACTTGATCGTTTTCAAAACCTTTTTCGTCCTTGGCATAGTAGTAACCTTGTGCAGAAATTTCATCAAAATCCGAGCAATAATTTCCAGGTTTTAGAGGGGTCAATGATTTTCGGACACATCCAGACAGACAGTCGAAAATGAGTGACATGGTGTACATAATTATCATCTAACATCTAAAAAACATAGTATCTCTTTTTCGAAATTTGTCACGATTACAATACCTGCTCGCCCAGCGGCGTAGGAACTAAAAGTTAATAACGGGCTCCGGGAAGCAAAAAGTATCAATACAAAACTGTTGTTTATTTTTTTAGACTGTTAGATTTTCTAAATTGTTGTTCCCATGTAACTTCAGTTGGCACGCTTATGTCGCTTGAGAAACTCATAAGCCGTATATTGCTGAGGGTATGATGTAAATGTGTATAACGTATATTATGTTGTACTGAAGTTGACTCAAATGCATAGGCAAACTCATTCTTGGATACTACATGTACATAGTTGTGAGTCTGGCTTACCGCAAATATACCTTATATCTCATTGAAGTATTCTGGGGAATTCGTGGATACTTGTTATGAAGCGCAGATGCCAGAGATGCCTGTTAAAATTTGTCTTTTACCAGGGTCAAATTAAAGAGAACAGTATTGCTAACAAGAGCCTGTTTATACAGGATGTTACCGAATACCTTAAAAAAACTGTAGAATAAATTTGAAAAAAGTTCACAAAAATAAACGTAAATCTGCAAATCTTCCATAAAGGATCAGGGTCTATAAGTGGAGTTTTCGACCGGGAAAGTAATACGAATTTCTAGTTGATCGCAACAATTCAATTTTTGCATTTAAATATTTTAGGACATTGGTATGTATTTTAAACTTTAACCAACATTTTTCTTTTCATTTTAGTACTTGGATATTCTTTAAAAGGTCAGTTGGTCATATGACACTTTTTGGCCAAAATTCATACATTTCCGATAATCAACTTACTATTTTTATGTTGAACGTTGAAACAAATAAAATACAGAATCTGCGATATCGCCTGCCAAAAATCACAAATTAATGTAGAATTGATTCTTAACTTAACTTTTGGCCACAGTAGTGGCTTTTTTCACAGTACAAATTAAAAAATGACAATGTTTATATTATATTGTAGTAAAACGTAGTACGTGTAATCTGCCAATTATTTCTCAGATCTTGGGCTAGTCACAATGCACATATTAGTAGTTGAAGTTTGTTTAATAATCGTTACTAGTGGTCTAAAAAATCAGCTGGAGATAATTTAATAAAAATGTCAACTTATAAACTCAGTTTTGACCTTTTTAATAATATTTTTTGATGTGGGAAATTCTACCGTAGCACGGTAAAACGTTAGTAAGGTTCATTCATTATGATTACAACTGTTTTCATTTATTGTCCAGTTGATCACTAGAAGTTTTTCTTTAATTTGAAAGTTTGTAACATATAAACATCCTACTAGGAGCGCAGTTAGTAACAGTAAGCTGTAACACAGCTCCAGTTTTTTTTTTGCTTTAACAATAGGTGCCATGAAATCTGAATTATATTCTTCTTTATTACAAGAAAAGGATAATTGTTCGATATGACAAAGCTCAGCCAATAACCTAGTTATAGATGAAATTTCATTTCTTTCGATGTAGAACAATGAAAATGCAATTTTTCAATTTCCTCCAGTAATAAAGTTTTAACGAAGAGACAGTAACTTGAAGTCGTCATATAAAATTTAAGTGTAATTGGAACCCTAGGAATTACGAAGTAACATTGTGACGCTTGAACAGTCATAGATTATCGAGCATTATGAGTCCTTAATTGAGGGAGTATTGTAATCGTACACATCTAAGTTGACGAGTTACTTAGCATAAATGTACAAAAATCCTTAATACTTGTTCCCATTGTGCTTCCATATACTGGTTGACCTTTTTTCAAACATATGTCTTAGGCTTAGGTAAAATGAAATTTCACAAAAATGCGATCGTTGAAAAAATGTAAGAATTTATTAATTTTTCTTATGCATTCAAAAACACGTCTGGGCATACTCCTAATCAGATGATCGATTTCCTCTTGAAGTATCCCATTCCAGGCTACTTGAACCCCGTGCCGAAGTACCGGTGTAGTGAGTAAACGGATTAATATCCTTCCCATAATGTCCCAGACTTATTCAATGGGTGATCGGGAGATCTAGGGGGGGTTAAGGCAGCAACTTGACTTGATCGTCTTCAAAATGGTACAGTGCAATTCTGGCTATATGTGGTGCGACAGTGGGTTGGTGAGCGTATGTATATAAGGCAAAACATGTGGTTCCCGCAGATCCTGGATGTAACGCACGTGGTCATGTTATCTCTGATGAACACCGAAGCTGATCTGCTTCTATAAGCAATAGCCCCCGATAGCATAATTCCAACAGCGCGGTTTACATACATTTCTATAGAACATTGTGAATTTCGTCTATCATTTTGCCCCCTTCTCTCCAAACAGAATCTGGATTCATCACTAACGGCATTGGTATTCCATTCGAGGTCCCAGTTCAGCCGTTCTCTGCACCAGTCCAGTCGGTCACTTCGGCGCTTAAGAGTGACAGGTAGGAGAAACTAAGGACGGTATGAAGTAACGCCAAAGCTGTTGACCCGGCGATAAACAATTCGCATTGTCATTGACTTTCCACACTCTCCAAACCATTGGTCCGTAGTTGACCTTTTGGTCGAGAAGCGGTCCCGCAGAACCAAAAGCCTAAGGTGGCGATCTTGGTGTGTGCCGTTCTTCTGACACGCCCTCTACCTCTAACTCTTTCGGATTCCATGCCCGATAACAAACCTTCACCGTCTTTAAACTTCTGTCACACAAGCTCACTATTCGCCTCCTATCAAACTCGATAAGGTTTTGAAATTTTCTCGTCTTCTCACTCTAGGCATATTGAATATGTTTTAGCAGCACGTATAAAATGCCACAAAACACAGCTATCGCGTACTTTTTTGTAGTAATAGACAATATAACAAAATCCACTTTACCAATATGGTTGAAAAGCTCATCTTTTTTGTCCTAACCTAAACAAATATACCGCACGGATTATTCACGGTTGAGGTCGGCCAGGTTTCATTGTGTGCGAGAGAGAGAAGCTCGCATGGTATACGTAGAACATCTTAGTAGTACATTCATTATTACTGGGCGTTCTTTTTTCTATGTCACTTAGTATATGAGGAGCAACCATACTGTAACGTCATGGTATATGATGCTGCTGTGTCATATTCAAACTTCATTAGATCGTGTTTGTCTATTCAGCGTATTCAAAAAATTTTGCCTAGATTGGTTACCAACTGACGAGAAATGAGAACTTTTAGATACAAACTTTCCATTACATAAGAACATGTTGAAATATATCCTGTCTAAACGGAAATTGGACTCCTGATAATAGCTCACGATTAAACTATCGATTTTACTCTGTATCTGAAATATTACTGTTTTACAGAGATTTCGTTTCGTACTAGGTTGTGTAAAATGGGTACACTAAAATTTGTGTCGAAAGAAAAGGTATCAATTAGAAGTGAAGATATTGTAGTCATACCAGAAATTTAAACCTCTTTTTTAAAGTTACATTTAAAAATATTTTACTGTGGAGTAAAATACATTTGCCACTGAGTTACCTGTATTCAGTTGCTCGTAGATAGTAAAGTGACATTTCAGGTCTTCTTAATTTGTCGAACATAATTGAACTAACAAACTAAATTTATCAGCTGATAATAACTGAATCGTAAGTCAAGTCGTCATAACTTTTATTTAGGACAAATTACTAAAAATACAAGAGGAATGCCGTTGTATGTTAATATTTGACATCTTTGAAATACAGCATCTACATATTATATTGCCACCGTATTCTATCTTCATAATGACAGTTCTAAAATCGTAAAGCTGTATAATAAAAATTCTTCAAATAATTATACACAAAAGTTGTCTTCTATTTTTTGGTATCTTGATACTCACTGAGCTGTCCTATTAATCAGTTCATCTTATCACTTATTTTCTTGAATCCATAAAGTAATCTTTGCTTCACCAACCAGCCGTCTTATTACATGAAACTGTCCTAGTTTTGTTATAAAAATTCATTTCCATTCATCATGTATTCCTCATCTCATTATCTGTCCCAATTTCAAGAATAGATGTTCCCATCCCTTAGCATATTCCTTCTTGCAGCATTTCCTCGAATATTCGTAAGGCTTCATTCCCCCTTCTGCATCATTTACATGTATATTAACTCGAAATATTATATGAAATAGAAGCCTTCATATTCCCTGATCCCTATATCCATACATTCTTTTGGCTTATATCGTCATATCATATTATTTCGGGACTTTGTCACATGATTTTGTATATACAGGAGGATATTTGAATTTCATTTTCTTTACTTAGAAGAGCTCAACGTTGCAATAAAATATAAAACAATTAAATATTTCTGGCAGATTGGTAGGCTTCCAGTGGTTTTTTCGTAGTAGGATGAATATTGAATTTGTGATGCTGAGCTGAAGAACTTCCGAATCTTTTGTGTATAAAAGGTTTGCAGTATCAATTTTTCGCAACAGTCTAAACAATGTTGCATTTCTAATAACGTATTTGAACTTCGTACATTGTAACAAAACTCATTTAAACTATCTGTACTTTCCACCGAAGGAAAATGCCGATAGAATGTGACTATGTTTTTCATGTAAAATTAGAAACGTATTATGTGGTTTTCATGTCGACAAGCCCCCATATTTCTCTTGCCAATCGAAAGCACATGCGTTGAATAAATCTTCATTATTCACGTTTCGGTCACAACGGTGACCTTTTTCAGTACAGTGACATTGACAATATACTCGTATTTATTTGTCTTCCTGGTAACACTCGGTTTGTTAGTAGTAGCACGCTGAGATTGCGCTAAACTATCAAATTTTAAGATGGCACCATTGATAACAACATAGCCCAGTGCCGGTTGAGGGTAGGCTCCCAAAAAGGTGTCCAGCCTTCTAAAACGAGAAGCGAGCATGATGATATCTGTCGTTTTCTAAACGTACCACATATGTTTTTTTCTTACATCGGCCCGAAGATGCCACAAGCCACCAAAAAACGTGAAAACCCTCCCACAACTGTTGTAGTGACACACCGGTTAATTATTATGCAATCTTCGACTAAAATGTTGCAAATGTATTGTTTATGGCCCTGGTGCTCAACTTAATCCTTTATGAACTAATTACGGCATTGCGTAGAAATTGCAGAGTCAGGCTTCTTGGCGCCATTTTTTTATATGCAGTTACAAATTGTTTTGAAGAGATCTCACATCTGGTTTGGTTGGATACGCCCCTGCTCTCCGCAACATTTATCTCCGTTCAGTATCCCTAGGGGGTAAGAAAGGTTAAGCTACTTTTTCCCTAGGATAGAGTATGTAAGACAGAAGCAGCAGCCAGAGCAACATACGATAGCCTGCTGCCACCTGGTTTTTGTATAAGATGCATGGGGATGTTGTTTTTATCTACAACTACTGAAGACCCGAGTCTGGATTGCGTCAGTCGAGAAGTACTTGAGATGGGCATGTAAATAAATAGAATTGCTCTGGGAGATAGACGGCTGAGAAAAATTTGTAATGTGATTCGAGTTGACGTGGGGTTGAGGTGACGTTGTTTGAAATATGATATACACAGACTGAATACGCTCTCAGAGAGTTTAGAATATTTTTTATGCGATGACAAGTCAAGTATAATCTTTGCAACGTTGAAAGATTGAATTTTCCTTGAACAGGTAACATCCCAGATCTATTGGATTGAATTTTTGGCATGTGATAATCATACAAGACTTAAAAGAGACGTGTTTTCTTTATATTATAATTTTCGGGGTTCGGAAATCGAGACGGCTTCCGAAAATGGAGACAGTTTTTGTGGATTGCAAGAAGCAGTTTAAACTGAATAAGTGCAAATCTTTTGATCGATTAGTCATCGGCGTTGCGAAAGCGCATGCACCCAAGTCCCAATCTAAGATCTGTAACAGAATTGTATACAACATTAAAAAAATTCAAAATATTGGGGACAAACCAAATTTTTTGGATGGATACTGAAAAGGGACAACCGAAGCTTTAATCCAACTAAACTTTATCTACTTTAATTTTAGGATTTTAGGAAAGGTACTTTTCTATGTAGATTCTTTGGAGGAAGCTCAGTACGCAAAAAACACTATGAATATAAATTTAACCAAAATACTTCCTAATCTTTTTACTGGATAATTATAGCGACAATGATATAATTTCCATATTATGCTCAACTAGGTACTATTTGTTTTTGGCCAAGAATGCGCTTGGATCACGACAACCAATTAGAAAAGTAGTAAAGAATGTTTCGTATTGTTCCCCTTTCAAAAGTAAGCTGGATTGTTTTATGCTGTACCGTTAAAACATATTCACTTTCGTTTGTCTGTCTTATTTAATTTATCCCTTCTTATTAACAATACGAGAGCGATTCACATCGCAACACAAATAATATTTCTGTCTTGCTCTAGGTTGGTACACCCAGTGCGATTAGCAGCTTAGATGCTTTCCAGAGAAAAAAAAATGTGCGCCGATGTATTGTTTCTCACTTTGGTAGGCAATGGTAGTCAAATTAGCCAAAAGCAACAATTTTGTCGACAAACAATGCAATGTCCCTTCTCTTTCTAATTTATTCGAATTCGTTGGGTACTTCCAACTTGAGAGCGATTTCAAAAAACTTGAAACTTGTTTCTACCTGTTTTTCCCATGTATCAATTTTTTTTGACGCTGCCAAAATGTTTCCGTATGTATAAATCCCAGCAAAGAATTGACGATGATAGAACTGAAACTGAATGGCGAAACACTTTAGCGAAAATTGCATAATTTCATTACTTGGGTAGTAAGTAATAACCATTGCACGCACCATTTTCATTTAAGTTCTGGTGAAAAGCAACGTACAATGTCATAATACTTTGATGGAAAATGAATTGTCCATGTTTGTATCAACTATGAAACTGTTTAACTAAAATCAATTATTCGGAATTAATATATTTTTTCTGTTGCAGGTATGGTACCTAGTGTTGTCATTAGTTGGTGAGTTAAATATGACCATTTTCAACTTGATTATCATTTATGGTCAGTCAAGTAATTGTTATACAATGTTTCCCGATACGCAATAACCATTCTAGTGGTCAACAAATTATTCTAATGCTTACTTTACTAATACTTTACATTCGAGAAGCGACGTAATTACAGAGACTCGGTTAGAGAACATTTGGAAAGTTTTAATATTTTTGATTTACAATCTATCTAAAATCATTAATTTTTACTACCTCAGCAGATGTTAAGGATTATAAAACCTTGCGAGAACTAAGGAAACGAAAATTAGTCGCTGTATCGTCATTTGTGTAAGTGGCCGGCGATTTTCCGGATCTTGATGGTGGTACCTTCTTCCCAGTTCCTCCTTGTAGCACACGTACCTACCGATATTCAGACATAGCAAAAGTAGAACATGGCGGCTCAAGTTGGTTGTCTCTGCGCTTGCTATGCAACGTCGACATCGGTTCATAAAGGATTAAGTTCAGCACCTCTGAGACAAAATACTTACGAATATGTACAATAGAGAAATTAAACAGATCAAGTCAGTCAAACAGGTCTATACAGTTAGTCTATAAACATTTTTTCTCTGCCCTACCGGTAGTTACCGTACGTCTGCCAACGTTGGCCCTTCTCATATCGTCAGATTATCAGAAAATTGCAACACGGTGAGCTGGGGGGTGGAAAATCCGAGTTCGGAAAAACTGCGGGAGTTGAGTGGGGCCTTAATGAACCACAATTGATACAAAATGAATCAATTGAATAACAAAAACTGCCGGAGTTGAGTTATAGAAAAATTAAGTTAATCTTTAAGTCCTATGAGCTTGTTTGTGTCAAAGAAGGGTGGATGTTCGGGGATTGGAATCACTGAACTCCAGTACTCACCCAGTTGGACGAAAAACGGCACCATACGCTAGAGGCAACTACTACCAGATCAATATATCGCTTGATTAGCGTCAGGCAGTATGGTTTCCGGCACCAACGATCCACAGGGGACCTCCTAGCTTACGTCACTCAATTGTGGAGTAAACTCATTCAGTCTTATGGTGAGGCTCATGTCGTTGCTCTTGACATCACGAAAGCGTTCGATTAGCTGTGGTACGCTGCCCTCTTAAGGCGGCTCCGACGCAGTGAGTTTCAGGCCATTTACAAGGGTTTAGCTGCTTCGGAATTGACGCTCCATTTTTCTACATATTTGAATAAAATTTATACAGTATGTTAAGAAGACAATTGTCCAGGGTGCTATAGAGCCACTTTTCTAAAAAAAATTATTTTTCAGGAATTATGGTGGGTGGAAGTGCAGATAATTGTTGTTCGACTTCTCGATTTTTTTAAAAATAACCCAGAGGAAAAAACGAAAAAGTGGCTCTATAGCACCCTGTGGAGTCTTGTTTTTAGTGCACTGTGAAAATTTCATTGAAAAATATTCAAAAATGAAGCGTCAATTTTGAAGCGCGAAAACCTCTGCAAATAGGCTTTTACACGAATTTTATCCACTATCCCGTGCTGCCAGTCGAAGCAACGCGGCGGTGTGTACGGACTAAGAAAGGACGTATTCAGATAATTTGTTGTCCCAAGTTAAACAGTAGCAGTTTTAACGTCGGTCGTTCGAGATAAACATCGGACCATTAAGTGATATTTTTAATAGACTTCAATGAAAGAGGGGAAAATTTTAATCGATTTTGATCGTTTCTTTTTATACAATAGGCCATGCTTCAGAGGTGATACCACAAAAAATCATTTTTGTTCAATCACCCCAATATGGATATCAAATGGAAGCACTTGTACAAAACAGTAATACGAAAACAGTTTCAAATCAAGATGGCGGCCGTTACAAAATGGCGGATAACATACTTGCTAATATCTCAAATAAGAGTCGTCGCCTTGTAGAATACAGTACTTCACTAAAAATTTGATTCCAAGATTGCCGCCGTTTCGAAATTGCGAGTTACATATTTTTGTACAAAACCCCCAATTTACATATCAAATGAAAAGACTTGACATGTGTGGTAAAATACAGAACTTTGTGACCAAAAGTTTCCAGGTGGTTCCAGGGTCATTGGAGGCGGTAATCTTTTTAGTTAAAAATAATAATTATAGTGAACGCATTTACCACAAATAAAATGTCACTTACTGTTTAGCTTTAACCTTATGGAGTATCGTAAAATAAACTTAACACGACAAGCGTCATGAGATATAATGCGTGTGTCGCAGCTCATTTGGCGCTTTGGGCCTCGTGACACACATGATATGTCTCACTGCTGGCAGTTATATTTGGCCGCGTAACGTAAGACGTGTGCCATGCTGATGTGATTTTTTTATGGGAACCAAGAGTCCGTGGCCTGGGGGACCAAATTATACTGAATTGGAAATGAAAACATTAAAAAACACGTTGTTTATAGAGTTTTACAAAAAGAGGATATTCTACAAATCTAAAACAAAAAGCAAATCTTATAAAATAATCAGACATTCTCATTCAAAAATGAACAAAGTAATTTCACAGCAAATCAGTAAGTTATGGTAAATGTCGATATTCTAACGAACACAAATATGGAGGAACTCTTATAAACTAAACAGATTGACAAAGTCTTATGCAGGAATAAACAAAATACCGGTATAAATAAACAGTAATACAGATAAATATGGAATTACTACAACTACTATCTGATTCACTACCACTTGGAGAATACGCATCAGATAAGTATACATCCCCACATAACTCAGTGCTGCCACTCTCTTCATCCGATAGTATTTCATTACACAATTATTCAAGCCTTTTTTGCTCCGCTTCGTAATGCGACATCACAAATTTGATATTCAATAATTTATAAACAGTAAAGCAATTTGGACAAGATGACGTACAATACCAACAACGCTTCAATAATAAATGACACGAAACAGTGCTCAACGCGCGACATGATGCAAGTCTTGACTTGCAAAAAACGCGACGCGACTTATGTGCCACGCGACCCGACTGGTCTGTGGGCCACGCGACATACAATTAGTACCTCAGAAAAAAAAATCAAAAAAGGGGAAAAATCATAGGATTTGAGAAAAAAGTCAAGACAAAATATTAAACCGAAACTTAAAACAAGCTAATTTGACAATAATAACAGTTTGGCCCAGTGGACTGGATTTTCAGATTCTACTGTGGCGCTTAACGTGTCAATGTGACATTTCAATATTCGCCATCTAACAGACTAGATAAAGCTAGCCGATGCTACGTGCTATTGAGCCTGACGATTGACTTTTATTTAAATAAACAATATATACATAATATACAATAAATAGTGAACATCTGGTACTAGTACCAAAATGGAAGAGATTAGCATAACATCTCGCACATCGCTGCTAAAGCGAGATCTGCACACCGCATTTGCCGACACGAAGGGGTTAGTAACGGCGTACAATGTAATATGCTAATCTCTTCCATCTTGGTACCCGAGTACAGCAAAAATAGCCAATTCTCAAGAACTCTTT